CCCAGGAGGCAGAGGTTGCAGTGAGCTGAGATTGCACCACTGCACTTCATCCTGTGTGACAAGAGACAGATTCTGTCTCAAAAACACCAAAAACAGAGTCCTGATTTAGATTTTACCCTTGAAGTTAGTACACACTAATAATAGAAGCCTAAATAAATCCCCCAATTTCTCGAACACTTTCTAGCCTCGGGTCTCTCCATGACATTCTCAGACAGCTGCATTTGGATTTCCGGGGGCTGGACTGGACCTCAGGTGTCTCTGCCCGAGAACCTCTGCCCTGGATGATTATTCGTGAATGTTCTGTCTCCAAGTGGGAGAGAGAAAATGAGAGATCCAGGGTCTGAGATGTTTATTCACACACCAGTCTCTCTGGAGCTAAGCGGTAATGCCTCTGTTTATGTTCTTAAGGCCTCTTAAAGAAGGTTCCCAGCTCAGGGCTGGGTAATAAAGGTGGGAGCTTTCCCCACATTATCCTCCTGATATGCATCTCTACGCTGACTAGCAGACAATGGTGAGAGCCAGACCCAGACAGCGCTGATTGCCATCCCGGCCCTGACAGTCTCAGTGGCAGGTGGGGCTCTAAGGCTCCTCTGGACGCCTGTTGGTCAAAGATAACTCATGCCTGGGGCGAGGGGGCGGTGGTGTCATGAGCAGGAGCTGAAGCCAAATGCCTTCGGTGACCTGAAAAATGTTATCTTCCACCAACACGCACACCTTGCAGTGTCTTACGAAATTATAAAATAAAACCCAGACTTATAAGACTCTCCCCCACCTAAGTTTTTTTTTTCCCTCTCTCCCAATTTTATTGCTTTGCTAAGGACACAGAAAGCAAACTAATTAAATGACAGCTAAAGAGCATGTACCTCCACGGAGTCCCAGAGCGGCTGAGATAATGGGCAGATCTCAGGTGAGTCAAGGAAATGCCACAGACATTGCTGCCTCTCTACTAATAAATAGCTTTTTGGTCCCATAAACACGAGAGACATTCAGGAAGCTGTGGGCAGCACAGGTCCTACCCTCCCAGGTTCTTTGGCCGGGCTGTTGATTAAAATGACATATAAAGAGATTAACAGGAGAAAGAGCATATTCAATTCCCTGCAGAGAAGAGTCCCACAAAATGAGACTCCAAGAAGGGTCAGATGATGGAAGCCCACAGAGCTGTCTCCTGAGATACAGAAAAGAAGAGGGGCTTGGGGATTGTTGTTGAGGGGGTGGAACCCCCAGTTACAGGAGGGCGAGGAGGAGACTTGTATGGTGAATAAAGGTTGCCTTGTTATGCAGATAAACAATCTCTCAGGTAATAAAAGCTGTCTCAGAGCAGCCCTCAGCAGAGCTGGCAGTTCTGGCATGGTGTCCACGTACTCCTCTTCCCTGGCTGAAAATTCCCTGGGAGGGGATTCACGACAATGGAGATCCGTCAACTGGATTTGCAGATAAGCAAGTTCAGAGAAAGGCCCCCCTGAATTTGCTGCTCCCCAAGCATCCTCTGTTAAGGAGTCAGCACACTACAGCACCATATTTTGGGGTGGCATTTCCCTAACTCCTGCAAAGCCAAATAACAGCGGAGAGCGAAGTGCCAGCTGTCCTCAGAGCTGTGTGTCCGTCCTCCCTCTTGATTTAGCGGCACAGACTATTAGAATGTAGGGCCCTGGGAGGGTTGATCATCTGTAGGGTAGAATACCGCCCCTTTTGCTTCCAGCTCTCTTAGTAATACTGGAACCTAATATTTTATGTTTTTAAAAAATTGCCTAATGGCATGGATCATGGCAAGCACAAATGGGCATTTAGTGAGTATTTTTTTGAATAATAACAATGATCTAACTCCTTATTCTTTGAAATCCTATCTCTGTGATAAGAACCAAATTTTCAAAAGGCTAATAGCTCATAAAAGACCCTTTCCTGTTGTCCTGCGGAGAAATGGAAAACTGCTCACGGGGTCAGTTATTGTTCTGAATCAAATCATTCCTTTATCTCAGGAGCATGTGTTGAGAGGCTGCTTGTCTGCGCAGTGCAGGGCCCCGGGGAAAGAGCATATAATGACCTTGGCGGGTCTCTGCGACAATCACTCTGGCTCGAATACTCTGCTCCTGAGCCTCTCTTCCCCCCAGCCCTCCTCTGCCTAGCTAACTTGCAGTAGGGATTACTACGGTTTGAATGCTTGGCCCCTCTGGAATGCTGAGAATGAATTGATGTGAGGTCTTTCAGAGGTTATTAGGTCATAAGGAGTCCACCCTCATGAATGCATTCACCTTGTGAGGTGGGAGAGGGTTGGTTACTGTGGGAGGGGCTTTGTTAGAAACCTCAGTCCCATGCAGTTGCTCACACCTGTAACCCCAGCAGTTTAGGAGGCCGAGGCAGGCCGATCACCTGAGGTCAGGAGTTCAAGACCAGCCTGATCAACATGGAGAAACCCCATCTCTACTAAAAATATAAAATTAGTTGGGCGTGGTGGTGCATGCCTGTAATTACATGCTTGGGAGGGTGAGGCAGGACAATTGCTTGAACCCGGGAGGTGAGACAAGATAGTGCCATTGCACTCCAGCCTGAGCAACAAGAGCAACACTTCATCTTAGAAAGAAAGAAAGAAAGAAAAAAGAAACCTTTCTCTCTCACAGGTGCCTCTGGCCTTCTGCCTATCTGCTGTGGGGTGACCCTGGCCAGATGCTGGCATCACGCTCTTGGACTTCCCAGCCTCCAGAACCAAGAGGCAAATACTTTTCTTTATAAATTACCCAGTCTGTGGTGTTTCATGATAGCAACAGAAAACATTCTAAGGGATCCTTTGATTCCCCATCAGGAAATCCCTTTGGGCAAACCTCCCTGACCCCAGGCCTGGGTTTGCTATTTCTCCTGTGTGCTCTCACCACACTGTACTGACCTGACCCTAAATCCCTCCACCGTGCACTGGGTATTTCCTTATCCATCATCCCCGTTAGACTCAAGTTCCCTACTGTCTCACCATGTGTTCTGGGAGCTGCTATCCCAGCAATTGGCCCTGTGTAGGAGCTTAATATAGGTTTGCTCTAAGAAGAAGAGAAGGAAGAACACAGGTACCTAGACAGAAAATTGTGTGGCCATGCGTAGGTGGGAGCAGTCACGGAGGAGGAAATGGTTTGCTCTCCCTGGACGGTCTGTCCAAATTCCACAGCCCCAGTGACACTTTGTGTCTTGAAGGGTAAACCAGATTCATCAAGATGCAAACACAACCATTGTATACATTGAGCTCATGTCATCAGCATCCATGAGCCACTGGACATAGTTTCTCAGTGTCCATGAGCCAGTGAACGCAGTTTTTTGTCTCAATGACCCCAATGGCATCTGCAAAATTTAGTTAAGATTCAAAATTACGAGATACAAATGTGTCAGGATGACTCTAAGTTTACATTACCCCTAATAATTCATTTCTATGGCTCCGTGTTCAGAAAGACTTTTCTGCAGGAAAATTTATCATGGTGTATATCACTCCCTGCACAGTGACACAAGTCAAAATGAAATATTTTCCACGGGAAGGCTCTGTTTCGAAGGATTGAAATGCTTATTCAAATAAGTCACTGAAATGGCACAGACGGCCACACCTGCCCCTTTATTGCTACAGAACCTGACATCCTCTTTCAAGTTAGTAGCAACATACCTCTAAAAACTTAACAGAATGCGAAGCAGTAAATACTGCAGTGGAATGGAGCTCTAGCAGAAAAGTACATGTTCCTTTGAAGTCATAAAAAAGGGGGCCTAATTCTTCTCCTCCTGGGATGGTGTGATGTAGGTTTACTGTTTTCTGTTTTCACTGAAGGCAGGAAGATTGACTAAATGATAACACTGCTTCCCACCTTCTCCTCCAGCTCTGACTCTTTAAACTGAATGCCGATTTATCTCCCCAAATATCTCACAGGCCTTTACTTTATTACCGGCCAAGAACAAATGGCAATGGGTGAGACAGGCTTGGTCACACTGTGACAAGATTTACAGTGGGATTTGGGGGGGAAAGTCATTAGTTACCATTTGTCATCCTGTGTTTGTGCCCCTCTTTTTCAAGATTGCTGTTTAAAAGAGCGTCCGACCGGGTGCGGTGGCTCACGTGTAATCCCAGCACTTTGGGAGTCCCAGGCGGGCACCTCACTTAAGGTCAGGAGTTTGAGGCCAACGTGGTGAACCCTCATCTCTACTAAAAAATGCAAAAATCAGCCAGGCAGGGTGGCACACATCTGTAACCCCAGCTACTCGGGAGGCTGAGGCAGGAGAATTGCTTGAATCCCAGGAGGTGGAGGTTGCAGTGAGCCGAGATAGTGCCCATGCACTGCACCCCAGCCTGGGTGACAAAGCAAGACCCTGACTCAAAAATAAATAAATGGATGGATTAATGAATTAATGAATAAATAAATAAAAGTGGGTCCACCATAATCAGCATTTTGGGCCGGCTTCCAGGTAAAAGGGAAGGGAAGCTGAGGGTCCGTGAGCGCTCACAGCCAGGCAGGCTTGTGTTCCAGGTCTTGTAGCCACTGGGCGATGGGAAAAGTGGCAACAGGGGACAGCAGAAGCGTTGATTGCCAAGTCTACACCTGTCCCTACCAATCTGGCAGTCCAAATAGATTTTTTTTTTATAAAGTAGACTTTTACTCCCATTAATTTGGAAAATGATGCTTTTCTTTGCTGAAGAGGAATGTTAATTTCAAGGATCTAAAATAAACACATATCTGACACTGGCTCGGCACTGGGAGTAAACCCACCTCCTCAGAGTCCCGGGAACGAACCTGGTAAGGGAGGCTGGGGATTGGTCTGTGGATGGAAATGACCCTCACGATCTCCTGGTTTTATGTTTTTTTCTGTATATACTTGATTCGAGGTAAGTCTTGGTTTACAGTTAAATCTTCCCACTTAGCGTCTACTTTTCTCATTGTTTTTCAAAGTCACGAAGTTTAGTTTGATGTTATGTAAAAGGGTGCTGATCCACTACGGGCACATTTCAGCTATTTTTCTCAAATCCACCAAAAACGTAAGGCGGTTGCTTTCAAGTTCTTCCTTCAGAGTGAGAGTTCTGCACAGTTAAATGCTTCAATCACTGAAGCTTGATAGGAACTTCCTGTTTTCTTTCTTTGGTATTCTAAGTTCTGTTTTATAGTATCAGTAACTGCAGGATTCTGAGTGCAAAGCTTTACATAGCACAACAAAGTGGCTTCTTACTATTAGCCCAAAGAAAATGTGTTTCGGGTTAATGGCAATACGGTGACTTTCCATAAAAACTCCTTTTGACCCGTTATTTCCATTCTATGCAGGCAAAATGGATCCTTCTCTCTTTGCGTTCAGTGATGAGCAAGCATTTCAAGTGTACATACGACTTGTTTCTGTCAATCAGCGATTCACACAGAGTCATGCTCAACCATGTTACTACAATCTGGAATTTGCAAATCTGTAAGCATTTTTCCGACGATGAATTACGTCAACACAATTGCACCATCGTTGACCGAAAAGGAGCGTCTCGGCACTGCTGCTGCGGGTAAGGACGGAGCTGCCTGCTGACTTGGAAATATCAAGAGCTCAGGCCAGCCAGCGTTTAGGCTCCTTGGATACTTTTAACAAAAGGGGACTTTGGAGAAATGTAATTAAGATTTATTTTAAATTAAGATCACCAAATTATATTTACATAAAAGCCTCTATAACGAGTATGCTATGTTTGTCATTAAAATGTCTTTATATTTTTATACAGTTTCACAATTTTTACGAAGTCTTAAATCACATAGAAAACAAAAAGTCATACCAAAATTATAACTGCTAAGAGATATGTTAATGGTAATTATGAGTGAGTCATAAATATAGAAATGCACTGATTTGACAAATAAGAAACAATATTGCTTTTCATTTGGCAAAACTGGCAAGGGAGGGGCTGGGGAAGGGAGCAGCTGGACTCTGTGGGAGGCTCTACACGCTGGCACAATTGTTTGCTGGGAGGTGATTTAACAGGACTGAAATGCCTTCATTCTAAGATGACATTAACGGTAAACAGCACCTTCAGTTTAATAGTGGGTTGATAAGAAAGACATTAAAAACACCCTGATTTCAGAAATGTTAAAATACACAAAAAAAGTCCTTCTTAGAGTTGAGGAGATGTGTTGGATGCAAAGCCTTAAAAACATCCACATACTTTGACTCTCTAACTTCTTCTTCTAGGAATTTTTCTTTAGAGAAAACTCAGTAACACGGGAAAAATTTGGCCATGGGAAAATTATCATCGTTCCGCAAGAAAAACATTTACATAAGTCATGGTGCACCCTGATGAACGGTCATCATTAGACACAGCATTAGAGAAATGCAAAGATGTTTGTGACACACTGTTAAGGATGAATGGAAAACTGGTAATAAAGCCCAACAGCATAAACTCGTCTCTGAAAACTGCGCGTGTGCTTATGTATACACGTAAAACGCATCCAGAAAGCTCTACAGCAATGAGTCAAAAATGCCACATCCAGCCACGTGGGATTATGTTTTTCTACCTTTTTCTTTTCTTTTTTCAGTATAAGTTACTGATGTTGTCTAACGAGTATGTATTTCTATTGTAATAATAAAAATTCTTTCATTTTTCACTAATACTGAGGGCTGTTCTTGGTCGGGGTCGGCGATGCCGATACCGGAGTGGATGCCTACGGAATGCAAGCAGGAGCTGCAGGAAGAACCGTTGTGGGAATACTGTTGGTGGCAAGATCTGCAGTGTATTTTTTGTCCCCATATGATGTCACTTGAAACCATTCATGGGCATTAAAAAAGAATCCACAATGCATCTCTTTACATTACTCCATTAAAATAAAACATTAGGAAGTAGCTAATGAAATCTTATCTAAAATGAGGTGGACTTTGCCCATTTATATGCTCTCCCCCTAAATAATTCACAAGCATGCAGCAAATCTTGCAGATGCTGTACTAAGGAGGCTATATATATATATATATATTTTGCTCTGTCACCCAGGCTGGAATGCAGTGCTGCGATGCTGGCTCACTGCAACCTCCACTTCCTGGGTTCAAGCAAGCGAGTCTCCTGCCTCAGCTTCACAAGTAGCTGGGACTACAGATGCCCGCCACTATGCCAGGCTAATTTTTGTACTTGTAGTAGAGACGAGGTTTCACTATATTGGCCATGCTGGTCTCGAACTCCTGACCTTGTGATATGGCCATCTTCGCCTCCCAAAGTGCTGGGATTTCAGCTGTGAGCCACCGTGCCGGACCAGGAGACCACATTTTTAAACACTGTGGTTATGTGGTGAAGAATACCCTTCAATACTACAAGCATTTTGGACAGAAAAATCTCTGAGACAATCAGAGCATTACGTGGTCTCTAATGTGCCAGGTTAGAATGGCCATATGGCTCCCTGAGTAGGATCTTCAAGAATAAATCACCACATGGCACACAGAAACGTAGTGCGCTGACACTAATACATAAAGTGGGAAGGACCCAGTCTTTTTGGGGTACCCCTTTCTCAGGGCATCTACGAGTAGCTCTCATACTTACGGCACCTCTCAGCTCAGAGGAGAGTGGTGTGCTTGCTGGATGTTTTCAGATTGCCAGCATGTTCAATGGAATCACATAAGGCTGTCACTATAAAAATGAAAGCAAGCCCCAAGCTTGGTGTGATGTTTTGCAATAAACAACAATCCATGGAATAAGAATTGAAAACCCTATTTGGGGTCACGTGCTGCAATCCCAGCGCTCTTTCAGAGTCTGGTCGCTGTTGGGTGACAACCCCTTCAGCGCCAGCCTGAAGAAGCCTGCAGGTCCAGCGGCAGTCTGCCTTCTGTTCCCTCCCAAGGTCCTCACCATTCCTCAGATCAATAGGACTGCGATGTATCTACATAAATCTGAGTAGCAGATACATTCTCATAAAGTTTACCCTGTCTTGCTTTTCAGCTGAGAAGCAGAATTGGAAAATATTTCAGGTTGAATTTGAAACAGGAAGATTAAATTCTGTCTCAGGTGTATCATGAATAAAAGTGCTAAGCAGAGCACAGTGACCTTTCCCGTACCTGAGCTAGGATGGAAAAGATCACAGGTGGAGGCTCTGGGCAGCCCGTGCGTCTTGCTGGGTCAGCGATTTGGCACCTTTTCTTTTTGAGTGCCTGCTGCCCTTGAAGAAGGGGATGGGGAAGGCTTGCATAAGCTGTGGCAGGGGCCTGGGGCAGGTGGGTGGCAGGGAATCTGAGAGTGAATGAGTGTGAGTGAGAGTATGAGGGTGTCCAGCTGGTAGCCCTTGTCCCAGAGCTGGTGGCCAGCAGTGTGTCTGGGAGTGGTGGCTGCTGTGAACGCCACACTCAGCTCTGCTCATACCGACTGGGTCCAGCTCTTTTTCAGTCATTTACTGGCCTGGAGGAGGCACGTACAACCCCCCAGCTATGTACAGTGGCCCCGCCCTTTCAGTAAGGCTGGGGGCCTCCCAACCAACTGTAAAAGGGGACTGATGGCTTGAGCTTTCCAGGACTGCACAGCAAGCTCATGGCTACATAAGGCTGTGCTCCTGGCTGATGCTCTGAGGAGCCCGGGTCCAAGCTGGCCACACGCAGCAGCGAGAGGGGAAGGGAGAGCTATTTTCTCCACTCTGGTGCCATTGTGGGCCATGCATTGGTTACAAGGAAGCAGATGGAGCTTGGAGGATGGGGAGGATACAGGGAGGAGAACTGAGATCACTGTGAGGGACAGGCAAGAGCACCATGGAAAATGCATCATCGATGCTCATGACAACGGCATGCCAAGGGGCTTGATGGCAGCAGCCTCAGGTATGGGCAGAACGTTTAATCCTCAGAATGATGGGATTCCTTAAAACCAAGCAAAGCAACTCATCACCTACCCATAAGAATAATAGAAGGGGCCACTTGATAGTTTGGGAACTGGGGGAGAAGGCTTGAACCTGCGGGCTCATGTGGGCATGTTGGACATGGTGGGCTGGCAAGGTGGGCCAGGAAAGCCTGGCAACCTGGGGTGTTGGCATGAGAGGACACTCACAGAGGTATGGCTGCCCTGGGTGCCAGGACAGCTGAGCAGGTCCCAGGGCACCTTCTGTTCACAGATTCCCGCAGGAGTCCTGCAGAGAAGGAAGCCACACTGCCATTCCTGAGAACAGAGACAATGCCAGACAAATGAGAGGTTCCATCTCCCCAGCGCTCAGGAAGTTAATTCAAAAATGCAATTTTTAATTAAAAGGAAACTTCCCAAGAGGACAGGGAAGCATCTCCAGCTGGAAGTCAGGCAGGGTGGGCCTCACCCACCTGCTGTTCCTTTCTCTGTCCTGCCTTCTGAAGAGGAGACCGTGGAAAGGGAAGCGGCAAGGCATGGGTGGGAGGAAGACACTGATACCCCAGGAAGGTGTGGGTGCCCGAGAGCAGCAGCCAGGCAGAGCGGTGGCAGGTGAAACTCCTCGGCAGCACTGGGTCCTGGGGGTCATGGGGAGGGTCAGTGAGGGCAGGGTACCGGTGTCATTTTAATTCGGACTTCTCTCTTTGCTGCAAATGGCTCTCTGGTACACAAACTGTCAACCAGGTGAAAACTTGACACTGTGTTTTCAATCTCCATGCACGATTTTGCAAAAGAGGTTCTTTCCAGCATTTTCTTCCCAGATGCCAGAGTCGTGCACCCTTCTATGCAAGGCTGGCAGGTGCTCAGCGCTGTCTGTCCCGGGCAGCAGCCAGCCTCCATGCTCTCGACTGCTCTGTGTCAGGTCCTTGTGTTTATTTCCAGATTCTGTTCAGATGCACCCGAGGCCCCGGGCAAGGGTTTCTGCTGGAGACAATCCTTGGCTGCCAGCCACAGCTTCCAGGCTGTGTCCCAAATGCAAAGTGTCACTCTCAAATGTTCTCCCATCTCCTATTCGCAGCAAATAACGAAGTGCTAAAATCTTATTTAGAGGACTCGTGGTAGAATCATGTGTTCACTTCTAGCCTTTTGGCTGAAACTGTTTTGAAAAATAGAAAATGGCAGGTCATTCAGGTGTCACCCTTCAATGGCGTGTGTTCTTGACGCCTCACAGCGACTGCACACTGGGTGAAGAGGATTTTTTTTTAATCGAGTAAGGTCATCTTTTCCTGATGAAGCCCCAAAGTGAAAAAGGCTTGAGAGGCACATGCTGCTCCTCTAGCAGAGGGTGGTCCCTGCAGGCAGGGTGGCCACTGGACAGCACCGGGAGGGTCTGTGGTCGCCAGACTCTGTTATCGTGGGCTATGAATTAACAGGGCTCTGCTTCAAACACAAACTCTCTTATCAGTCACAGGAAATTAAATGCCTTTTAAAAGGGAGCCAGGCATGGGAGGAAGTCACTTTCCTCCACCTACACGCTGCCGGAAGGATGGAGCCTGCCGTTCTGTGGAACGTCACCTGGCTCTTACCCATGACTTCACCGTGGAGTCAGGACTCCAGAGCCGTGTGGCCCGATTGTGTGGCAGGCTGCTCCCAAAGAGACCTGGGGAGAACATGGCTCACTCAATAGAATAACGCCAGAGAGGGACACCAAGAAAGTGGCGATCACAGAATTGAGACCTACTCAGATCCGGTGAAATCTTACCCAGTCCTTGAGGAACCATTCATGTAGACAGGCCTCCCTGTTTTCTGCCTTAAACTTATTTTACATACATGGGGAATTGAGACTCCAAGATTATGAAGATTTTCAAGATCATATGGCCAGTAGGTGATTCAGCTTAGAGTCAAATCTAGATTTGAACAACTCCATAATCATCACCACCAGCAATAATGACACCGCCTACATTAACTGAGCAATGACTAAGTAGTAAGTATTGTGCCGAACCCTTTACACGAGTCACTTAGCTGATCCTCAGACAATCCTACGGCAGAGTGATTGTTCCAGCCACAGATGGGGAAATGCAAAGGCTTGGAGGTGTTCTAACTCTTCTCTCACGCCTCTCTTTTAATCCTCAGGAGACGCTGCCCCCCACCACCTGGATTTAAGCCACAGCCACTCTGCCTTGGTTGCTGCGATCGTCCAATGTCTCCTAGAGCCTGCCCGGCCCCTCCTGACCTTCGTCCTGGACAGCAGCCAGAGCAGGACATCAGATGTTGTCACGTCTGCTCTCACTCCCCACCACTGCCCGTTTCACTGGGATGAAGGGCCGAGTGTCCTCACCAGGCCCTCCCACACCAGCCCTCTCCCCGCAGTGTCTCCTGGAGCTGCATCGCTCTCAGGTGGTGCCAGAACACCCCTCGACTGGGAATGCCCTGGGATCCTGCAGGTGCCCACCCAGCTGGCTCCCTCCAGGTCCTGTCCTTGCTCAAATCACACCTTCTCGATGAAATTTACTCTCAAGTCCAAGCTGCCCTTCCTATCCTCCCACCTCAGGCGCAGCAGATCCCCTTTGCTGGACCCTCCCACTTCGCTTCCACGGTGACTGTGGAAACGCTCTGACATGGAGGTCAGCGAACCACTTTCAACCACACTTTACTGGGACACAGCCACACCCTTCGGTTTGTCTATCGTCTGTGACCATTTTCACACTATGATCAATGGCCCTCAGAGCTAACAACGCACTGCCTGGCCCTTTACGGAACAGCGTGGCCATCCCTGCTCTAACATACTGGGGACCCTGATGGTGGATTGGG